GATTTATTGTATGATTGATTGTATGATATTGATTAAAAAAAAATGTATTTAGAATTAAGTGCACGCACAATCAAAGATGTTAAATAAAGTAATGTATCATAAAAAAATAGATATTAAGTAGACAAGTAGATGGGTTCTAGTTTGCTTGTAGTAAAATTATATTGTGCTTTTTGGGAATCTTATTTGGCTTATTTTTTTTTTTTTTTTTTTTACGCTTTTCTCTATCAATTATTTTTCAATTTCCTATCAACGCAAGTGTAAAATATTGATAGAGAGTCTCTTAATTTAAATTTTATTTTCAGTCTTAGTCTTCCGTGTCGGTTTTTTTTTTTCTAACTCCTTTTGTTGCTCTTATTGTATAACGATCGAAAGTTTGAACGTTTTGCAAATATACACCGAAAGGAGAATTTGTTATTTGTTTTATAAATTAGTTTTCGTTTAAAAGGAGGGTGGATGGGACGGCGTGGTTAGGGTGGGTCTCCATTTCGCAGCAACCTCCAAGCGGTGAGACCTGGGAAATTATATTATTTGATATACAATATATAATTATTGTCATTGTATAGCTAATGTCGACAATACAATTATATATTTTATAGGAAATAATATGAGCTAATTGGCTGCGATCGCGATTATATTTTTCATAAATAGAGTTTTTTATTTTTTAAAATGAATAACATTCTCGTTTCATTCTTGAATATTATGAAGTTTAAGATTTTTTTTTCTTTGTATCTTTAAGTAATAATATTAGTAATTAATTTCGTAATAATATTAGTAATTTATTTCGTAATAATATTTGTAATTAATTTCATAATTAAATTTCGTAATTAAAATATGGTACCTTAGATAGCATAGCATTGATCTCTTTAGATTTTCAGAACATATGGAAAATAGTCCTATAAAATATTGCGTTAATATATCTCGTCTGTATATCGTTGTACTTTTTTCTAACTCTGTGATGTTAGCGCTAATTTCCAAATTTGTATCCTATTTTTATCTTTGTTTTTTGTTTGTTGCTCTTCTTGTTTTTACTTTGTTGTATAAAATTTATAGAATCATAAAATGGCGTTGATCCTTAATTCTTGATCTATTGTGTATTTAGAGAAATGGTTTTGATGATGGAAATATGACGATAATGTCTATTGTTACTTTTCTATTTTTCTTCTATTATTATCTCATTTTGTTTATGTTAATTTCATGTATAGATGACACTATAGATAGTATTGAATTTGAAATTTTTACTTGTCTGTCTGTTTCCTACTATTTGTTGTTTTTGTGTATTTTTTTGCTTTCGATCATCACGAAGTATGAGATATTATTTAAAATATATATTTTTATCAATTTTCTTACAAAATTGCAATATAATTTAATCCTAATCTTTCATTGTAAGTATAGTTCTTATATTTTCAACTTTAAAATATATCTCTAGGCAATTGAAAGTATAATTCGAAGGAAATTAGAAGGAATTTTTAAATATTTTATCAACGATATTATCGAAAATTTGTTGTCAAATTCATTCTTTCATTTTTCTAAATTTTATAAAATATTGCTTAATTATAAAACATGCAGTCCAATATTGTAATTGTGCATATTTCTGTCCTGTATGTCCTCTATGATAGTATAAATATCCTCTATTTACCTATTCTATTCTATTCTTCTATTCTATTCTATTACCTATTCTATTCTGAATATTGCGTGTAGAAGTGTAGAATTTGATATTTGTAGATTTAATTGTTTCGTTTAATTTTTGAAATAAACAGTGATTTACTTTTTAACAATCTCATTAAAACGATAAATCAATATTTAACCGTGATAATTTATAATTTGATATATTATTAATGACTTTATATTAGATATAAAAATCCTTACCGTGAAGAGTGTATTTGTTGTCTGATCCTGAACAAACCAAAGGTCCACCACTGTCTCCCAAACAAGCATCTCTTCCGCCATCTTTCAATCCAGCACAAAGCATTCCCGGTGTGATTCTGTATAATGGAATGAATAATGTTTTCCTTCGACACTCTTCCGTCGAGATCACAGGAAGTTGTACTTCTTGCAGGGTATCCGCTGTTCAAAAGAATATTTTATTAATCCATATATTTTTATAAATATTCTAAATATCCAACAAATAATTATATTTACGGAATATTCTTCCTATTTCGAATAATTGTCCCCAACCCGTCACAGTGCACATAGTACCACTTTTCGGCTCTGATTGTGGAAGACATACAGGTCGAACGTAGTCGCTGAAGATTACTGGTTCTTCGAGTCTCAACATCGCTATATCGTTTATAAATCCATTGTCGATGTAATCAGGATGCAGAGATATGTGATCCAAACGTAATACTTGCTCGTACGGACTTGGAAAGCTTCCTCTGCGAGTAGCTCCGATTCTCGCCACCCAATATTCGTCTTGAGCACTACGACAGATGTTGAAATAGTTAGATACTTGATTGTTATTTTTCAATTTTTAAATTCTGTCTTCTTTTCTGACACTAGTCTTTTAGGAACTAATATGATATATGAATATTTTATTTTCAGATTAAAGAGAGAAAAGTTTTAATACTGATGAACGATAATGAAAGATTCTTCTCTATTGATATTCTCTAATAAAAGTTGTACGAGAAGATACATATTCGAGTAAGTATAATAATAATATTAATAATAAATAAGAATAATAAAAAAGATAATATTTATTTTATTTAAGTTTTATATTATTTAATTTATATCTTTTTTTATTTTCGTAATACATTGTTATTATTTATTTACTCACTGGTAAAAACAATGTGCTGCGGATAAAATCCATTTTTCATTGATGAGAGCTCCTCCACATTGATAATCACCTTCTTTGTACAGAGCAACTTGCCATGGCCAACTTCCAGCTGAAGAGCTACCACCGCCAACTATCCTGGAACGTCGTGAAACATTCGACCTATTTCAATGTATACATCTTAAACGAGTATGGACATTCAGTAGCTTTTATTGCAATTTGTGTTTTAAAACTACAAAACACGTTTATATATTTTTTCTCAATTATTCCTAACTTATTTAAGATTTCATTTTATACAAATGATTTCCATTATATTCAATGTTTAAATTTGAATATTATTTATTCACAAGATTTCAGAAGCGTTTTCCACCAACGCGTTTAATTCTCAAGCTTAAATAAAATATTTTCTAAAGATAATACATAATTCAAGAATACCTCAATCATTTATTTAAATTGAATAAAAAACGGAATTTACTATTTCGTTTATAATTATGAAAACAAAAGGAGGATAAGTCCAATTATTTTCAATTATACACGAACCGGTTTTTTCACAATAATCATTAGCTTAATGATTTTAAACTATCATTGATAATTTGATTCGTCATTATATCATCAGAAAAAGAAAAGAAAAGTTTGCCAAGTTTTGATTTAATGTAATATTTCTCGTGTTCCGATAAAAATTTATGATTGTATCACGGTATAGTTATTTATTTCGAACGATAAAGATCAGGATAATTTTAATTTTATGCAGATTATTCGTAAATTTTTTTACGATAGATATATTGTTATCATGGTGGTGTACAAAGGGTCATTATACTCGGCTGCATTTGTATACAGATAGTTTTGCAAGTGATCCGGCCAACGTGTAATTATGAGAAACTGGTTCAGTGAATGTGTACCTGGCTTGCGATGGCGCCTGCGTTCTTATACCGCATTCAAGGTTCTTGCACTTGACCCTGAGGACTTCGCCACTCGGGCATTTCGAAGGTTTGAAAGTCAAGATCCTTTTATCGACAGGTTTCTCGTTATAGGAGAGTGTATAATACGATCTTCCAGGTGTTGGATTTTCGTCCAACACTTTTTCCACGGATTCGTAATCTCTGAAAAATGTTTAAATATCGATAATATATTTATTGCATTTTTCATTATTAATGTATCAATTTGAAGAATTGTTTTATTTAAATACAATTATAGATATTTAAATAAAACAAAAAGGTATAAAATTCTAAAAAAAAAAAAAAATAGATTCTTTTTTACATAGTCTTAAAGGATATAGAATGTTAGAATTCTAAAAATTATCAGAATTACAATTGTTGAATGATAATTATTTATTTATATTATATGGAACAAAATTTTTTTTAGCTACAAACGTAGCGAAAAAAGAATACTTTGGCAAGATGTATAAGAATTATTATGAATACTTACTGATACGTAATCGCTTTACAAACAGCTCTGCCGAGATCTTCGATAGTCCAAGCAGTTTGTCTTTCTTGTAAGAGATGGTCCATTCCATTCAGACACAATTTCCCCCATTTCCCATTCTTCCTGATATTCAAGTAACCTTTTTCATTGTAATTATTGATTTCCTTTTTCAAATTTATCATCGATGCGTTTTTCGCGTTCAAATGGATCGAGTTTCCATGCGGCAAGATGTTCTTCGCGTTCGACGATATTTCCCTTCCGGAGACGAGGATCGTACTACCGTTAACACGTTCACGATTATTAAGAAACGTTTTCTCTTTCATCATCGATTCATCCTTGGTGCTTATAATTTTTTCTAATCGAATATCATCTTGGAACGAGGCGTGTAAAGTGGTTGACTCTAAAATGGAGGATTCCACCGCTTCTTGATCGTAAAGGAGGATGTCCTTGTCAGTGGTGGATTCTATTTCTGAAAGGTGTCCTTGAGATGATGGATGTTCATCTTTGGTTACGATGGTCCCTGGATTATTATCGTCCTTAACAAAGATACTCGTTTCTTCGTAATTTAACGTTGAATCATCTTCTATCAGCGCCGCGCATTTTTTCTCGTCCTCCCCACCTGGACAGTCTGTATAACCGTTGCAAACTTTGTCTTGGTTTATGCAGGTTCGACTGTTGCCGCAAACGAATTGTCCCTCTTCGCACCAATCTAACGATTAAACAAATTAAAATTGAGAATATAAATTTTTAACAAGCCCTCGAAATAACGATTCGTAATTTCGCATCGTTTATTTAAAATGATTGATATCGAAATATTTCTTTTTACATACGTATATTCATTTTAAATTTATTAAAATCCAATTTTTATATAGGTTTTTTATTCTGCCATTCTTTTTTAA